GTATACGTTATACCGGAGAATTATACCCAGACGGGGACTGTCCAGTAAGTATACGTTATACCGGAGAATTATACCCAGACGGGGACTGTCCAGTAAGTATACGTTATACCGGAGAATTATACCCAGACGGGGACTGTCCAGTAAGTATACGTTATACCGGAGAATTATACCCAGACGGGGACTGTCCAGTAAGTATACGTTATACCGGAGAATTATACCCAGACGGGGACTGTCCAGTAAGTATACGTTATACCGGAGAATTATACCCAGACGGGGACTGTCCAGTATGTTATACCAGAGAATTACCCAGACGGGGACTGTCCAGTAAGTATATGAGGATTAAATAGGGCACGGAGTCTTATTTAACTCCATCCTTTGAATAGAGACTGTTGTGGACTGAACTGTTATTTTCTATGTATATTATAAACATAGTGTAACACTGAAATTCTACTGTTACAGGCACACAGGTATATACACACACACACACACTACCACAGGTACTTACTCTTCATCTCAAAGATTCATGTAACACTAAGTTCTTTTTATCGAAAAGAAAAAGCATTTGAGTGTCATTTGACCCTTAAATCATGGAATGAATGAGAATAACCATTTCTTCAGACAGAAGCTGTGTATACCTTATAAATTTTATACATCAAAGATGTAACAATACTTCATAGTGTCTATTATAATTTCAGAGGTTAGTGTTTGACCCGCCCGTATTCCATCCAGTTATCAACCCTGAGTCAGGGGAACTCGATGTCAAAAGAGCTTTTCAGAAGTGGAGGTAGGAAATATGTGCATTGTTTGGATATATGCATTTGTGGCATATTTTATATATTTGGCATTCACTCTTTAAAAATTATCATTTTTGGGACTAAGTAAAAAATTATCAAAGTCAGAACATTACATAATACATGCTTCTAATAGAGACGAGTAACTGACTTATCCCACGGCTAGCACTGCGAACAATAGGATGACAGCGCAAATGTGTATGACAATACAAGTGACGGCCATGGGATGATGATAATAATAATAATAATAAGTAGAAGTCTGTTAATGAGTGTAGCCTAATTTATCAGTTTTAATGGTAACAGAGATTTGAAATCTATAGATTACTTTATATAATACTATTCATGAAACTGTGTTTTCTTCCAGGCGAAATGTGAACCACATTTGGCAGGTTCTTCTATATGCAAGAAAAATATTTTACAAAATTGACACCAAGAACCCCTGGAACCCAGAGGCAGCTGTATTGTAAGCAGACATAACTTTGAATATTTTAATAATCACTGTATTGTAATCTAAATCACACTACACAGATATATAACTTTGAACATTTTAATAATCAATGTTAACTTTAATGGTATAGTCACAGTTGTGGGTCTTGGGACAGTTGTACAAGTGAGGAAACCTGTGACACTGAATTTCTAAGAAATAAGCCGCATGTTTTGGGAGCATTTGGCAGTGTGTTTTTGAAATAAAATCTCAGTTGTATCATGCTAAATATTTTTAAAAAATGCACTTTTAATGCAGTTTACATGATAATCAGTTTTTGTCTTTGCACCTTTGAAGGAAGAACAGAAATGTTGTAATATGACATTGACTGCTGTGTATTTACTGATATGAACAAGATTTAGACCTATACAAACATAAACTAACTGTANATCATTTTTGGGACTAAGTAAAAAATTATCAAAGTCAGAACATTACATAATACATGCTTCTAATAGAGACGAGTAACTGACTTATCCCACGGCTAGCACTGCGAACAATAGGATGACAGCGCAAATGTGTATGACAATACAAGTGACGGCCATGGGATGATGATAATAATAATAATAATAAGTAGAAGTCTGTTAATGAGTGTAGCCTAATTTATCAGTTTTAATGGTAACAGAGATTTGAAATCTATAGATTACTTTATATAATACTATTCATGAAACTGTGTTTTCTTCCAGGCGAAATGTGAACCACATTTGGCAGGTTCTTCTATATGCAAGAAAAATATTTTACAAAATTGACACCAAGAACCCCTGGAACCCAGAGGCAGCTGTATTGTAAGCAGACATAACTTTGAATATTTTAATAATCACTGTATTGTAATCTAAATCACACTACACAGATATATAACTTTGAACATTTTAATAATCAATGTTAACTTTAATGGTATAGTCACAGTTGTGGGTCTTGGGACAGTTGTACAAGTGAGGAAACCTGTGACACTGAATTTCTAAGAAATAAGCCGCATGTTTTGGGAGCATTTGGCAGTGTGTTTTTGAAATAAAATCTCAGTTGTATCATGCTAAATATTTTTAAAAAATGCACTTTTAATGCAGTTTACATGATAATCAGTTTTTGTCTTTGCACCTTTGAAGGAAGAACAGAAATGTTGTAATATGACATTGACTGCTGTGTATTTACTGATATGAACAAGATTTAGACCTATACAAACATAAACTAACTGTACCTGCTGTGTATTTACAGATATGAACAAGATTTAGACCTATACAAACATAAACTAACTGTTGTAATATAACATTACCTGCTGTGTATTTACAGATATAAACAAGATTTAGACCTATACAAACATAAACTAACTGTTGTAATATAACATTACCTGCTGTGTATTTACAGATATAAACAAGATTTAGACCTATACAAACATAAACTAACTGTTGTAATATAACATTACCTGCTGTGTATTTACAGATATGAACAAGATTTAGACCTATACAAACATAAACTAGCAGAAAGTATAAAACTGTGCAAAGATAGGTTATATGACCCTCCAGAGTCTGATGACCCCCACGCCATAAGGTGAGTAGACAGACGGCTGACCATGCACTAGGGTTCAGTTTATTCCTGCCAAATACCCAAAAACTTCACCTTTATCAGAATTTTAAACAAAAATGTTGGCAAAATGCTGTAAAATATTTTACGTTTTCTTTTAGTCAGATTGCTGCGTCTCTAACATTTGGACATAAAAGTCTTTGTGCTTGCATTTTCCTTTGCAATTGTTTATCATGCTAAAGTCAACAGAGTACAAATATACAGATGCATAAAAGTAGATATTTAAAAAAAAAGAAACTCTATCATAAATTATATGTGGTGTGTTTAAATTCTCATTCAGTTTTATACATCAGAAGTTTTTTTTTTGTCACAAACTGATAATGATGAAAGACATTGAACTAATATCTATTTCATATTCACTATATCAGGCTCTGTACATGAGAGTATCAACATATTATTTCTATTTTCTATTCAGGTTCAGTACATGAGAGTATAAGACATAATATTTCTATTTTCTATTCAGGTTCAGTACATGAGAGTATAAGACATAATATTTCTATTTTCTATTCAGGTTCAGTACATGAAAGTATCAGACATAATATTTCTATTTTCTATTCAGGTTCAGTACATGAAAGTATCAGACATAATATTTCTATTTTCTATTCAGGTTTAGTACGTGAAAGTATCAGACATAATATTTCTATTTTCTATTCAGGTTTAGTGAGTGGGAGCCGTCAGTTCATGAGAGCACCAGAGATCAGTTGCTCCGCCCAAAGGTAAAGGAAGGTAAACCCTCTGTGCAGGCTTCTGGCTGTGCTCTGTTTGCTTTGCTAACTCCAACACCACCCTTCTACACTGAAACTCTAAAAGAAAAATGATTTATTCATTTAATATATAGTATGTCAGATACATGGCAAGAGTTACGGTAGAGGAGCATAGTTTTTTTGCTGTTTTTATTTTCACGTGTTGGCAATGTTTTAGGCTCAGGATTATTATTTATTTACTAATTTATTTATTTATTATTATTATTATTTTTTTTTTTTTTTTTTTTGCTTTTTCTCTCCTACATGAAGATGTGCTTTGTATTTGTTATGATTCACTTTCATGCAAGGTCACCTGGAAATATCAATCTCCGTATAGTTCAGCTGGATTTTTTTAGATAAAAAAGCTCTTCCCTTTGCGACTGCAGGTCTGTGTCAATGGTGCTGTTATGAAGTTCATCTACTGTTTCTCTGCCACTCAAACTGTGGATATTGGCACATCTTGGTGAAGTAGTTACTCACAAATCCCAAATGCCTCATTATTGAATTTTTTTTTTTTTTTACTTTGAACTCATCTTACCGAAGCATTAGTCACAAATCCCAAATTATTATTAAAGTGTTTTTATTTATTTATTTATTTACTTATTTATTTANTTGTAGTAACCACATTCAGCAGCATGAGATTTGCCAATTCTTGTACTTAAAAAAGCATTTGTTTTGATCTTTTTTTGTGTAATTTATATGATTGTATTCCTAATATTTGTTTATTAAAAATTAATTCAAAATTTTTGATTCACTGTTAGTTGATCTTGTATTTCAATTATCAAACCAGTAAGCACCTTCAAAAATATTTAGTTTTGAGATGTTAAAATATTTGTTGCATTTTTAGCTGGTTGTAGCGTACACCTGTATGATGGACTGCTGCCGATTGAAGAAATGGAGAGGTCTTGCCAAAAAATATGAGGCTATGGCACTGAAAAGGTAAGTATATTGGTCAGTCTTTCGAGGCCAAGTACCCCTATTTTAGATAAATAAAAGAGTAAATTGTTTAACTTCCAGTTTTTTTGTAAATAATAATTAAATACTGACTTTAGTACCATTCTACCAATGAACAATTTTTTAAAAACTGATATTATTAAGTGTGCTATATAAAAGAAATATCTGTGTTTTCTATAATTCCTTCTTTTGCTTATTTAGATGTGCAAATATCCTGTGTTCAGACTTTACCCCAGACAACTTGGTTGTAGTAGCAAATGTTTTCTGCACATGCTTGGAATCTAGGTTGGCCAATGGAGACATTCAAGGAGCTGTAGAGAGCGGTATGTCCCCCTCATCTCTCATCTAAAGAAAGGCAAAGTTGCAAACACAAATGATTGCTTAATACATAGATGGTCATGTTTTTCACAATTTGTGCATGAGATAAGTGTCAGATGAGCTTTTTTTTTCTGAAATTACTATTAAGAAAGAAAAAGACTACCACAAAATCAATTCAAACTAGGTATATTTTAGTGCATTTGTTATCCTTGCCATAAAGAAAGTTATTTTGTCAGAACATCTGCAGCTTTTTTTTTATAATTGCTTTACTGCTTAGAAGTGCATGCTGACATCATTGCAATATTAGTATTGAATCCTTTAGGGGGATCTGCCAAAGTTATTGCTGAAATGCTGAGAAGTCAGGATATGGAGGTTGAGATTTGGCCATCCCAGGCATCTGCACTGCTGTACTTAGATCGGTAAGTTCTTGTGAAAAAGGTGTACCGTATGCAAACTTGCATTATTCTGTAGTATGCAAACAGAATCTAGAAGTGAGCATGGTGGTAATTACTTTAATAACTAAATAAAAACTCTATGAAGATCTGCTAAAACTAGAGAGAGAAGAATGGTAGTAATTTTTTTTAGCCAAATCTTAGTTTGGAACATATTGAGAATTTTCTTGATTTTGTTGGTTAATGAAGTTCTCAGCATGTAGCTCTCAGTTCTGTTATGGGTTTTGTAATAGAAAACATGTAAAATTTTAATGATGATGCATTGTGTTCTGCTTCTATACCTGATGGTGAGGAGTACAGTTTCTTGTTTGAGTAGAGGTAGAGACAAACCTCTTTCTTTTAGGTTTGTCAGCTTGCAAAAGGTATTTACTGACAAGAGAGAATGCTGTGAAGGCATCTAAACAATATGGTAACCTATGAAATTAATGACATAATATTATGCCTTGTTTTTCAGTATTTCGGAGTGTGAAACAGTGCTGGAGCAACTTGAATCAGTTGCAATCATGTCCAACAATCCACTAGGAAGAGCATATTTTATTGCTGGTTGCTTGGACGTAGGATTAGATGCAGGTAAGAATCATAACCTGTTTTATCCTAGGAAGATTTGTCCAAGACATTGTATTAAATTCTTTTCCAGCTCATTTTCCAACCAAATCAGTGCAAGTAAGTGAAAAATGTTTGAGACCCTTTCTATTTTTTGTCATTTTGCTTATTTTTTATATATTTGTAGCTGCTTAAGTAATGTACTTTTGTCTTTTTTTTTTTTACTGTATTTTTCTCTGTATGTGTTCACTGTAGGTTACCTAGTGCGTCCTTTCAAACACTGTGTGGACTTCTGCACCACTGCAATGAAAGATCCCAACCTCCAAAGAGACAAGGGTATATGCTTTTACCTGGCTGTAGACTTAGCTCTCTGGTACATTTTCCTCTGCTTTTTTCATTTTCCATCCTTCTTATTTGACTTCTACATAAAGAATGTCTTCCAGCAATTTATCAGTTTGAAAATGTATGCTTCATATATAGAACCTAAAAAGTTATACAGTAATGCATCAGTATTTCTTAAAGCAGGTATTGTTTTTTCTCAAATCAGAGCAAAAGAAAAGTATTTGAGGATATTACAGCTGCAGTCCCTAGCACACCACATCACTGATCATAATTTTTTCCTGCAGGTTTGCGAGAATTAACCATTGGAAAGAATCAGATACCTGGTTTGAGAAAGCTCTGGAATGTCAGCCTCAAATTCAGGAAACTGTCACCTGCTTCAGGACTGTCTATGCCATGGTGAAGATGTGTGAATGTCGTCTGCTTTGTGCCAATAAGGCTGGTAAAAGACCATTTGCTGATGCACTTCTCAAAAAGGCACAAAAGGTAAATTTCATATAGATCTACATCTACAATGGATTGGTTGGAGTGTCAAATGTTTTTTTTTTTTCTTTCTTGATATAAATATATTTATTTAAATTACAAGGTTGATGTAGTAACATTGATCTTTTATACAGGACCATCCCTTCATGATAAGAGATGAAGAATACAATTTTACCAAATGCATTTATCTTTAAAAGTTTATTCAGATTATATGCTCATTTTTCCAGTCATTAAAAAGCCTTCAGAAGCAAGTTGGAATGCTTCAAGTCCTTCAGCCTCGTATGTTACATATGGAAGCATACCTCAGTGCTCTGAAAGGTAATCTACAGAGGGCTAAAAAATTGCTGACACAGTGTGAAACTGTCAGCAGTGCCATGGGGAACATTCTGGAAACAGAGTGGGCTGCTTGGTCTCAGAAGGTAGGATGTACATTTCAATGAAGTATTTCATCCAATTTTTGGCTAACTATTTAATGTTAGTCTCATGAAAAATTATGCTCATTAAACTGATGTTCTACTTCATTTAAATGACACTGGACCAGTTTTTATCAAAGTACCAAACAAAGAGGAAAAAAATTAGCAATGCACAATTGTACCATTTGTTTAATTTAATATTTCAGGTATGGTTTGACCCAGCGTATGCTGATCATGAGAACGCATTCTGGATGCAGGGAGGTGTGACCAGAGTTCAGTCCATAGACAGCACTGGAACTGCAGCTAGTGTGAGGTTCTCTCTGCCACTGTCATCTGTGACACCGAATACTGCTTAGAACCCCTCATAAGACTTATTGCTAGACTCCACAAGTCATTGCTTTGATCTTAATGAAGTATTGTCTGTGAGCTTTTTTCAAAGAAGGATTTTTGTGATAATAGTTTTTATCAGTTTTATTTTCATTTTCATAGCTTTTCTTTTACATATTGAAGCAAAATAACTTGCTGTGTTCTGTTTAAACAATTTTATTCCCATAAACAAAACTTTTTAACAGATGTTTTCTATTTGGCAAAACATGTTGATGAAATAAATGTACATTATATATAAGGACCATCACCTGTACAATAAAAAATATCACATAAAACCCATATATATAAATTCGTCTTCTTCCTTCTGTACATAAGTAGCTATTCCAACATCTATTTTAATAGCACAATTATATTTTACTTTCTAAAATCCCAACACATTAAAATATTTCTTATCAAATGTGACAGGATTATTCTACACAATCTGAACTACACTAAACTCGATAGGCTGCACATTTAGACTACCCATCTTGTCAGAATAACAATACAGTTGACATGAAACTCTATCTCTTGTATATCTTTGCTTAGTTAAAAAGCAATTGCTTTTTATATCATGCAGTCATGTAATTAACAGGGAGTCTTTTGTACAATACCAGATTTTCACAATCAGTTTAACACACTGGTTGATATAAAAGCGTAGTCATCATGGGAAACTTTTTACCTGTGTCACCTCTATTAACATAATCTAGCTGTGTAATGTGCCCTGTATTTCTGATGTGCTGCTTCTAGTTCATGTGTGACAGGTGTGTACGAGTGAAAAAATAATAGTCATGTGCATGTTTTAAAAGTATTTTACATTACACCTTATTTGTATTTCTATACATGTATATGCAATTGTACATTAACAACAGTCCTAATCCCCACAACAAACAGAGATCATTTTATTACAGGTCTTAATAAATAAATTCTCTAAAAATCTACATCTTACCCATCCCATTAAAATAATAACTACAGCAAACCAAACAGCCTAGGGCCATTTTCCAATAAATCACATATGATGGTGCAGTACTGAAATTTTCCCTGTCTCTGTGTTAAGCATATTATACTTGAAGTTTGTCTACATCTAAATGCCATTTGATGGCCTAAACACAGTTCAATATGTGATATATTGCATCTTATACTGTTAGTCTTCTAGCTACTGTACAGTCGACTACATTAAATGGGAACCAATACCTCTCAAAGAAACTATAATACTTGCATAAAAAGTATCTCAGCATGTCAATCTATATGCAAATCTTCACAAAACTGCTGCTTTTTTATACACAACACAACTTGCACATATATATTTAAGATGGGTATTGAGGCACCTTCAATAAATGACTAGAATGGAACATATAATTCAATTATACTACATCTTTTGTATGACAACTTGGATTTGGTGGTGTAAACAACTCCCTAGAGATATAAAAATACCGGCAATGGTTTGCAGTCAGCAAAAAATATTACATTTATCATCCAATAGCCCATCTTCTCCAACAGACTGACCACTTTACTAGTAATCACAAAGTTCACCGTTTCCAGGTTTGGATTTCGTTGATTTCCCACTTCTGGTTTCCCAATGAGGCGTCACATGCTGCCATGACCAGCTTCATATTTTGCCCATCTGCCTGGACACACTGACCCCTTGTCTTGTGCCTTACCTGGTGAGTTGACTGAAATACAGACATGTACTGATTAAAACTTTAGCATGCTGTATAAGAGACGGGGGCAAGAACAGAAAATGTTTACATTATCCAAGGAGAGCCTTATCCCTACCAAAATTTTACTGAAATGCCCCGCTGAACCATTTTATAAAAATTCTGCACATTGCTACAGTCTCTTTTCTTAAAAATGAGAATGATCTGAAAATCGTATAACAATAAATCTGCCACTGTCAATAATATATTATTCAAACTCAACTTAAAGATACCCATGTAAAATATGGAGCAAACAATTATGCACTGCTCATAGAATAATTCTGAAATAGTCCTACATAGTAACCTGTTGTGCAGAATAGAAAATATACCACAGCTTTGATCAAACTGGCCAAACACAATATTTCCTCAGTAAAATGTAACCCTTTACCAGAGCATAAAGGTTTTACCTACCTCATCAAAGTCCCAAGGTCCAGTTGGCATTACTGAGCAGAAGATAACTTTAGGCTGTCCACCAGACAGATCAATGCACCGCTCTCCTACTGCTAACTGACCTTTAGTATTCAGTCTAAACAGCTGAAATAAGAATCAAATTTTATAAAGACATCATTCAAAAGTATCTAATTTGGGTATTATCCTGTGTAAACAATAAACGCTTCTGTAGATCATGTTCAACCCTTGTATATCCTTTAAACTGGTTGCTCTAAGACAATCTATTTAACAATTCAGTTTACAATATTCAATTCCATACCTGGTTTCCGCCAAAATGGTGGCACATACTGAGGCCCACTGTATTTCCCACTTGACCTCCCATAGTGTCCCAGCACAGGCGACCATTCTTTTCTTTAAACTGAGGAAAGAAAAATATCACACTTTAATGACCAAACAAAAAAGAATTACTAGTATAAAGATTTGAACACACACTAAAAATGCCCTTTACAACTGCCACAATCCCAACCTACCTTTTCAACAAGGACCAAATATTTTACATACATCTAATATATTTTAAACTGTTTGCTTTCATTTTTCTTCTCACTATCTAAACTTTAACTTATTGTAATGTAATGTCACATGCTCTTATATACGGTCAATCCACTTCAATCACACTTTCTGAGACATTTTCACACTGTATTACTCACCTCACCCCATTTCTTGTTTGGTGGAGGTGGTGGGAAACGGTCATATATTTCATATGCAATATTATCCATAAACCATTTGAAACTTTTACAATTGTGTTTTTTCTTAAACTCCAGCTGTTCAGAAATATTTCCAATTGGATATCCCCTGATGGTAGGCTCACGGGTGTAAAAATACTCCTTAAATTCATCATCCAACCAAACTTCTACAACTCTCATATAATTCTGAAAGAAATGCAAAACAAAACTTTTTTTTAATTATCACAAAAAGATACATATATGGTTCGTTTATATTCCTTCAATCTACTTCAAATCTTAAGTAAATAACAGATCAAACAAATAACTTTCCTAAAAGGTAGTTTTCGATTCACAGACAGGAAATCGTTTCGCTCCATTGAAAAATACTTACAAGTAAAACAACTGGAATCTTCACATCGATATTTCCAAATCCATATGGCATATGATTCCTGTAGACATGACCTACATGAGAACATGGCACCCATTCAATACTCCCACCACACTGCCAAATCTGGAAAGATATTGTACTTTATGTTAGTATCTATGCCTTAAAACACATATATTGGTGTCCTGTACCATGCTAATACTTCATAAATTCACTCAAATGTGCCGTTGTGTAGAATTAAGGATTGTGTTCACTTTGATACATTTTTGCATTTTCAGCCTAATTGCTCATTTTTAAAAAAGAATCGCCTATTACCAACTGTTTTCAAACAACTTCAAATTTTCTTTAGCTTAAGTGTTTCAATTTAAGCATTTCACAGTAAAAGCATATATACATTTACCATAAAAATGTTTTCTAGTGTAATATGTCTTCAACCTCACCTTAAAAGAAAGTTCGAAGTTTTCGCCACCCCATATCATCATTCCTGGATCATAACCTCCTAATTCAAAGAAGTATTTTCTGTCCATTGCAAACAATCCGCCTGCATGGGTTGGAGACCTGCAATGTAAAATATCATTTCAAAAAACTAACAANAATAATGATCACTCTTATGAATTTTTAAGTTTTTTTAACAATATTCAAATCCCTTTTGCAAATGTGTTTAAAAAAACTTTCAAAAATATACACACTGGGTATACATATATAAAGATTAAAGAAAAATGTGCTTACGTGTATAACACATAACCAAAGTATAATTAAGGCTTTCATTAAAAAGGGGATATAGTACATACTTGAACTGTCTTGCCTACCTTTTTATTGGTTTCAGAAGGATCCCTTTCTTTCACATATCCACCTTCCTTAGCAATATTCTTTATGGTCTGTATCCACTAGAATGGCCAAAAAATTAATTCATAAACTAATAATTGATTAATTGATTAAAATGATTGCTAAATTATTTACGTAATCTGCACTTGGCAATAAAATAATATATAGCACAGAAGGCAAAACCAAGTATTGACTTAAATTTACTTGCAAATTGCAGAAACTAGATCTCACTCTCTCTGGTGTGAATGTGTGTGCACATATGTATTTACTCCATACACAAGTGTGTGTGTGTGTGTGTGTGTGTGTGTGTGTGTATGAACCTGTATGTATGTACACAATGTCATGTTATCTACACGTTTATTCACCTCTTCTTTTTCCACTTCATTCTCTGCTTGAAGAATTATTGTCCTAAACACAAAGGAATTGTTAATCAGTACGCATGGCATTACAGATTGGGCATTAAAAAAACAAACAAATAAAACATGTATTTAGAAGGAAAAGAAATAAAAATTTTCGAAAAAGAAAGATTTCTGTCACCCTGCCATAAGAGTGTGTTCGCTGTACATGTGTATAACACTTTTTCATCATTTCATTATTATCATAATTAATTTTTCTATAATAAATAGACAAATATAATACTAGTACATGCATCAAATTCCATAAACACAATACATGTATGTACTTGTATATACTTTCTCTCAATCTCAGTTTAACTCAAACAATTTTTTTGACATTTTTCTTTTTTAATAAAAAAACACACTTTTTGCTAGCTGGTGCTACAACTTGAAACACATATCTTCTGTCATCAGATTCAGTAGACTCCACATGTAGTCCCTCCTCATTTAAGTCACACACCAGACTGCCTGCAAGCTGGGGGGAAACCATGTCAACAAATTGTATATCATATTCAAATATTAAACCTCATTTATAATGAAACTTTATATTTATAATTTCTCATAGCTGTGGTTTAGTGTTACCTCATTGTGCATATCTTACAGTATATATTTGCCAAACTGTACATTTAGGCCAGGACGTGCTGGGGCACATAAATAGCAATGGACATTTACTATTCACTTTAAATAGCCTATGCAGTGAATTTTTGATAAAGAAGCAATCATGTCATTAGAAATTGTAAGCATTACTCTCTTCCTCATATTTGATGAGTTGAAATAGCAAATAAGATTATATCATTATTGAATAATATCTTTTTAATTGTAAATATCAGTTCAACAAACAAAGTAAACAAAGTTTCATACATTTGGTTTACTTACCTCATTTCTATTTTGGGACATCAAATTACCTCCTTGTGTGAAAAAATAATGTGCATCCCATTTGGAAGAAGCCAACATATTCTGCTTACTGAAATAATAAGAGTCAGAGGCAAAAAAAAAAAGTGAAATGGACTATCAAAATAAACAGATTTTAGGTATACATATGTTAGACTTTCAAGTACCTTAAAAATTATTTTTTCTGGAAATTTCAACAATTTACCTCTAATCACAAAGGTAATCCTATCCAAAACTGTGAGGAAAATTAGCATCTACAAACACGTTCTACATTTCTATTTTAATCTTTCTTGGTGAAATTTTTCCGTTTCCCATCTCCAATTATCAAAAATAAAAAAAACTAAGAACTCAAATATGAGTTAACTCTAAACATTGTAATCCTTTCATTGTTTTTGGATATGGTGCAAGATAATCCCAAGCAATGTTCCATCCATGTACCTTTGTTTAATTATTCCCCTCTGCTGTTGTAAAGTAAGTTTTCTCCTCCTCTCCCCCCCCCCCCCAAAAAAAAAACAAAAACAAAAACAAAAACAAAATCCCAGATCTTCCAGTGATATCTCCTCACCTCCTCAGGCAGAGATAGCCAGACTTCTGGCCCAGCATTGTGTTCACAGGTCTGGAGTCTTCACCAGCAGGAACCTCCACATGGTAACGAGGACTAGTCTCTATCTCCAGCTTGTCCATCTGTTCTATAGTCTTCTGGGTTTCTAGGGCTAATTCTTTATGAACTCTGGAATAAAATGATTATTACATTTAGTACTTACATATTAAATCTAATGCAAAACATCTAAGATTACAAAATTGATAAAAACATAATAAATGTATCTTATTGTTCAAGTTTACATAAAAGAGATAGATATCAACAATGACGTTTATTTAACAATATCAAACTGAAACCAGACTCAGTTATTCACAAAATTTTTGACACAAAAAACTAAGAGTCTGAAATGCTTCTCGTAAAATCAATTAAAACACATTACTTTAAAATCATAATTCAACATTCATTTTATGAAAGAATTTACAGAAATAAAGAGAAAAAACAGCCCCAAACTTCTTACCCTTGTACACTAGCAGAAATATTCGATACAAAATCATCGATGTCCTCTTTACTGAACCTATCCTGCCCCATGTGAAAGAATGCTCTATAAGCATGCAGCATCCCAAGAAAAGGATCCAATAGTGCAGTCTTCCTCTTGTATTGTACTGCATTTAGTGCTGTGAAGTAGTGAAGTGCTGTCTGGAAAAGGAGGTTCACTTTTGTTCAAAAATGTACTTTTTTAACAGTTATTAACAGTGNAGAGACCTTTAACATAATTAAAGTCAGACTGCTTTAAACTTCAACTTGGGGATGAAGCCGTAAATAAAGTTATTCAATCCTTTTTAAACTTAAAACATCCTTTTAAACTTGGTTACAGTTCTTTCCAATGAATAACATATATAAACAGATTCATATAATATCATTATAAAGGAGACATCTGAACAATCTTTACCAAATGTTGATTTAATTTGATCTAAAAGTGGAAGTTTCTAAAATGAAGTTTGGCCGTGAAATCACCACTATGACACATCCCTAGGGCCCTTCTAAATATGTCCTCATATTTACCGTGAAATCGCCACTAAAAACCTTTTTTCAAATTCAGTTATTAGTAATGTCTTGGTCTATATCCACCTAGAGCTTGATTATTATTCCTTGGATTCGTACTAGTATTGTATTGGTTCATATATATTGGTTCTGGTGTAATTCTCATACATAAGCCACAACAGTATTGAACTTGTTGTGTTTGATTTTGATAACTAATATAGTTAATCTGTGATTGTAAAAGTTCTTTCTCTTTTTGCCATTGTGATTGTAAAAGTCCTTTCTCTTCTTGCCATTGTTTCTCATTTTCAGTGTTTTCAAATAAAAGTTGATTCTTTAGAGAAAATGCTACTTCTTTTGATAAGCAGTTAACATGGAATTTAGGGTCACTTATGATTTTTTCTTTCTGTTGTTCACAATATCTTTCATTTTTTAATTTCTCCTGTTCCAGTAGATGAATTTTGTGTTCTCTTTTAATACAAGTGGCCTTTAAACCTTTAATAGTCTCAGAATTTCTTCTTATTTCAGCATTTTTTTCATCTAGTTCTTTTCTAATGTTGTTTGATTTGCTTACTTGTTCCTTTGTCGCATCAAGCTCTTTTCTTACAATTTCTAGTTCCTTTAATTTTGCTCTGAGATTCTTCAATTCTGTCTTTACAGCAGCTGAAGCGTCTAGTTCATCAGTTACAGAGTCACACTCATGAAAAGGAAATAGTGTTTCTTCTGGCACGTCTTCTGGTGCTTGCACGCTCTCTGGTGCATTATCTATCAAGGCATTGCAACCCATTTGTAACTCACATGTATTAGCTTGGACTGCCTGTTTCTGATGACTAGTCTTCTTTTTGCTCTGCCATTTCTTCATTCTTTCTTGATCTCTTCTCAGGCGTGATGGTGACTTCTTCTTTTTGATGCTGCAGATTTGGGGAACTGTATTGACATTCTGCAATTGCTGGTCTCTTGGGTCATTTTTCCAGACAATTGTGATAGTCAGCTTGTCTTCACTTTTGTTGATATTGTATGCAGTTGGCATCTGATCTACTTCTGATAGAATTTGCTGTAAGTCTGTTGGATACTTGCTGAATGTGGCATTTTTCCTCATAGCGCTGGTTGTTGGGATATCCTAGCTAAGGTATCTTCTCACTGGCTTGGCATCTGCAGTGAAAGGCACTTGGGGATCACAGGCATCTCCACCATGTATCACAGGGGACACTTTGGTCTGTGTTACTTCTCCAGCAGGTAACACAACAGCAGTGATATGTATTCCAGAGAACAACTACAAACTGACTTCTCTCCACATTTATTTCTCTGGCTGAGAGATCTGGAGTCTCCTAAGACAGCAGGGACAATCCAGCTATCGGTTTGACTGACCAAACTCACATCAAGCTCTGATCTCCAATCTCTCTCTCTTCTCTAATACAAAGTCTTCTCCTTATATACTGATACACACAAAATACATTACAGTGATTCCTAAAACAAGTCAGAGATATTGAAGCCAATTAACAGAATTAAGACATATTACCAGTAGAGACCTTTAACATAATTAAAGTCAGACTGCTTTAAACTTCAACTTGGGGATGAAGCCGTAAATAAAGTTATTCAATCCTTTTTAAACTTAAAACATCCTTTTAAACTTGGTTACAGTTCTTTCCAATGAATAACATATATAAACAGATTCATATAATATCATTATAAAGGAGACATCTGAACAATCTTTACCAAATGTTGATTTAATTTGATCTAAAAGTGGAAGTTTCTAAAATGAAGTTTGGCCGTGAAATCACCACTATGACACAAAAATGCTGAAAAAAAGTGAAAAAATAGCCTAAATTCACTAAAAATGACCCAATCATGCTGATTTTCAAACTTGACCTGCGTATTATGAATATTCATCAGTTCTGTAGGTTTCAAGCCCAAAGGTCAAATGGTTTTCCATTTATGGTGTTATCCGTGCTGCATATATGCTGAAAAAAGAGAAAAAATAGCCTAAATTCACTAAAAATGACCCAATCACGCTGATTTTCGAACTTGACCTGCGTATTATGTATATTCATCAGTTCTGTAAGTTTCAAGCCAAAAGGTAAAATGGTTTTCCACTTATTGTGTTATCGGTGCTGCATATATGCTGAAAAAAGTGAAAAAACAGCATAAATTCCCTTTAAGTGACCCGATCATGCTGATTTTCGAACTCGACCTGCGTATTATGAATATTCATCAGTTCTGTAAGTTTCAAGCCAAAAGGTACAATGGTTTTCCACTTATCGTGTTATCGGTGCTGCATATATGTTGAAAAAAGTGAAAAAACAGCATAAATTCCCTAAGAGTGACCCGATCATGCTGAATTTCGAACTTGACCTGCGTATTATGAATATTCATCAGTTCTGCAAGTTTCAAATCAAAAGGCAAAATGGTTTTCCACTTATCGTGTTATCGGTAAAAGTGCACGGCGACGGCGACGGCAACGGCGACAGCGACGACGGCGACGACAGACGCAGATGACGGCTATATGTACAGACACATCTGTGTCTGTACATAAAAATAGCAATAATATCATTATATCCATAATATATTATTTGTCCATCATTTCTAGTATTTCAATAAGACATTTTGATGAAATTATTGATAATACCCTATGTGGTATTTTGATGAAATTATTGATAATACCCTATGTGGTATTTTGATGAAATTATTTCTAATACTCTATGTGGTATTTTGATGAAATTATTTCTAATACTCTATGCTGACATTTTGATAAAATAACTACCCTCAGCTCCTAAAAAGTACATCTTAACACAAGCTGATAACCAAAGGGATACATGTAACCACAAACATTTAGCCATATGGAGAAAAATATTGATTTCAAGATGTGTATATCTTCAGTGCATTTCATCAAAGTATGAAATGCCACAGAGTGATGGCTTGTGAGTACTTAAAATTACTGAAGACCTGAGGAAAATTTGTTTTCCCACGAAAATCCTGCACAATATCTTATCCCTGCTATACCCGAGGGCAAGGTAGATAACACAGACGTGACTGTATGAGATAGAGAAACAAGTATGTGAACATGCGGCTAAAAATGAAGGGAAAATATCATCAATCACTCTGCAATGACAGTGATCCCAGCGCGTGGCACTACTAGGGTGCCAGGTGTGGCTGAGCTGTGCCGCGTGAGTACCTGCCATGAGGATGATGTCAGCTCACAGCTGTGACCACAACACCAAAGGTTTCTCTAACCATAATGCAGTCGTTATAAATGCCACATCACTGGAAAATTTGATCTTGACAAAGCTGAAACATGGGATTGATCCAGCACATATTCTACTGATTAAAACACGTCCTGTTCACTAAATAAACAAAAATTTGATAAAACAGTATACAATAAAATTCAGCCTCTCAAACTAATAATAACACTGTGAACATTAAGTAATAATCAAACCACAGCACCTTAGGTCTGACCTCAGATTCTCATGTCATAATTCAGATGTCCCATTTTTCATTACCCCGCATGTCATTTTGCACATCGGCATAAATCTGACTTTGCTTCATCAGACATTCACTCAGATAGCCTCCATACTCAGGGTGATAATTTATTGTGTTAGTTTAGTACCTGCCAACCAGTGATGCATGTGAACAGAATTCCTAAGTCATCAATAAGGAATCTTACAAGCAGACAGATCATAGATTATATAAGTGTTCAGTATGCAGCTCACACCTCAGTGTCAGGTTAATGTGCTCTTCAAGTTCACCATGGGGCTACTAGTTCACCTGTAAACTGCACTGTACACTAGTCACATAAACATACAACTAAAATGTCTTGTTAATAATTGTTACTATAATAATGATAATAATAATAATAATAATAATAATGAAAATGTTTCATTTACCCCAACATTCAACGTTTGTTGATTGTCTCTGGATTAAGTTTATAAATAAATTTATAAAAGCCTTGCCAATGGATGCCTGCATACTCTCCAGATAAATTAAAATCATTCAACAGAGTATTTCTTCTCCTTATGTTCAATTCATGAAAAGTTCTTAATAACAATTGAAGGAACTTCTTCTCCAAAACGAAATAATACATTTTTCATATATAGCATGAAGTAATATTTAAATAGGTTAATGGAAAAAAAAGAAGACTACTAGTACTAGCACAGACAAACCAATTGACATTAAATACATAGAAAATTGAAATATCAAATATAATTTCATACAGAATTTTCAAATTTAAACTCCACATACCTTTGGGTCATGTCATATCCCTGCCGCGCCAGAGTGTTAGTCTGCAAGTTCACCAGACTAAAAGAAGAAATAAAACTTAGGTAAAAAGTACCAAAAATTAATTCTTATACTGCAAATTTACTAAAACTGTCATCATTAATTTAAATCTGAGCAAATTTAATTTTCAATCATGTAGTATAATGAAATTCTTTATTTTAAAGTATATAATATTACAATAATATCACAACCAAGTTTGAATGCTTTCATAAATATGGATCATATATCATATAATATTAAAGTAAATTTTCAAATGTGACAGATTTCAAATATTTCAAATTGTTATAAACAGGCTAACAAGGCCAAGTGAAAACTGTTAATATCCACTAAACCCATTTAATTCTAGCTTATCTAAATCATGCAGTCTGTGTGAGTTAGAAGATAAAAAGTAACATGAAATTTCTAAACTTTATGTTAAGTAAAAAAGAAACCAGCCCCAATGTGAAATCAAAACCACCAAAATGTTTTAGATGTCAAAATCTCCTTGAAAGAGGGGAAACAAAAAAGACCAAAACAGGTTTTAACTTAAAAACCAAAAACTGTAAATTTATCCTTTTTCCTGAATAAATCAACAGTATCTGTAATAAAGCTACTGTCACCATTTCTTGTTTTTAATATCTGATCAAACCACACTGATTTTTAATCTTTAAAATTCTCATTTACTATTTCCACATCAGCTCTATTAATAAAAGTGCCTTTTACTGGCTTATTTTTGAGGAGATATTTGAGGGAATGTATTTCAGCTCTCACCACATAGAGTGACTATACTGTGTAACATACACACTCCTAGTGAGATAAGAGGATTGTTTAATATTACTCCCATCAATAGCTGTGTTATTATGGCAATCCTAATCAAGAGACTAGCAAACTGGGAGAGATTGTTTCTCTACAGGAAAGACAGACTCTGCAGAAAAACCCTTCATATAGATGCCTTGTTTGAAAGTGCTCATAGACATCATTTCAATTTTTCAAAGCTTAAAATCAATTTCAAATAAAAAAATGACAAAACGTAGAGCACTAGGTTTCAATTGAGTGTTTCAAAGGCAAACTCTATCAACAACATAAATAAAAAACTTTATCTGAAACAATTTTGACTGTCTATAAAAAGATGAGTGAGTAATGCATTTAATCATTAAATGAGAAAAAAACATGCATTTTATTCAGTTCTAAAAAACAAACATTAAAACACCTATTAAACCAGATAAGTGTTATATGGATAAAGAACAATATGGGCCCAAAATTACTCACATGCCAAATGTTACAGTACAATAAAATCATATTTTACCCTTGGTCAATTTGCAAATATTATTAAAGAAACTCCCATAAATAGTATGAAATACTGGTTGTGGAGAGCACACACGGGGGAAGTTAATATCACTAACCTGTGTATATTAATATCTCATTAACCTCTGTATTACTATTTCTTTGGGTGGAAAGAAAGAACCGGAGCTTGTGTGTTATTCTCTAAGGCCCCATTCAGAATAGGGGACTAGCTAGTCCAAGGGTCAAATATGGCCGACCCACTTGAATACTTCCCCATGGGATATCTATTCAGTGTCTATTAACAGATTAGATGGCAAGCTTTGTAGTGGGTCACCATATTTGACCCTCGGCCTAGTTAGTCCTCTGTTCTGAATGGAGCCTATGGAATGCTGTCAAGTCTACCTGGCGGTGTTCAGTTCTCTATACAGTGGCGCAGTAGCACTGGGATCTGGCCTGAGGCAAACACATCATATTTATCACATATTAGACACCTATCCCGTTTCCTGTCGGCATTTTTTCCTCATGGTATGTGGAGGTGATATAAGTATATAGTCTCTTTTTTCCCTCTCTCTCCCCCATCTCTCTCTCCTTCTCTCTCTCTCCACCACTCAACTTCTAGCAGTCACTTCTCACTCTCTATTCCTGTCTATTAATATTATTGAACCTCTTTTCATAGATGTTAAATAACATGAGGAGATGAACCTAATGCATACAGTCAGCTCATCCTATAAAAATGTATTCCTAGCTGGTTTCTAAATGCTAACATGTTTTGTGTTTATGTAATGTCTGACCTTATGTCAGCCAAGTATATCAAGAATACAGAGAACTAGGGAAGATTTTTTCCATACAACCTCTAACATGAGAACATATGTTACTAGTATGTGCATATACATGGACAAACATCAATATTCACAAGGATAGACTATCACAAGTGCACACAATATGTAAAATTTATGCCAATTAAATGAGAATGAAAATGGCAGTAAAAAAAACGATACAAAAACTGATGCTATTAAAGGTATATCCCAGTACAATAGAGCTAGATATACTTATCTCCTATATCAAAGACATGACAGACTTAGCCAGAAAAATATTATCAGACCTCCCTCCAGACAGATAAATTTGTATCTACCAGCTAGGAACTGTGCCTCAACTGACAGTGAATATCGCCTTCAGTTTTAAATGACACAGATAAAAACAAAAGAGGATAAATTTAGCAAATATATCCAGTTGAGGTAGTACCAGCATAATAATCTCCAGCATACTCACTTTTTTCAACAAATCACACAAAGAAATGCCTAAAAAATCAATTATAATTTTCATTTTTATCAATTAAATGTATCATAATTGTTATCTTCTCCTTTGGCAAAAAAAAAAAATTTTAGGAAGTACCTGGCCTGCGCAACCTGTGCCTCCACATTATCAATACCCACGCCGTGATCTGGCGGCCATCGCCCATCATATGTATTCTGATGTCGTCTGCTCTCCACGCTGCTACGGTAAGTCTGTCTCTTCACCAAGGCGCCTTGCAAGACCCCAATACGCCGAACTGCGTTTCTTGCAGCTGCCATCTTACATTATTTCCAACCTAAAACTTAAATGGACAGAAATTAGTGACAAACACTGAAAATGAAGACATTTCTATGGCTGCACGAATGAAAAGAGACATTAAAAGACATAAAAAGCAACCTTGTTTTTCATCGAACACTAAGCAATTATAAATACTTTGCTCTGAGGAAGCTTATCTGTATCAGCTAGGTTTACCTCTGGTTGGTTGACCCAAGCCTTATTACAATATCACATTCTAACTAGGTCACATCAGGTCAATGTCCTTAACGCTAAACTGATATCTTCACTTAATTGTTTGTCAAACCTAGGGCTCATTCCCAGTTTCAGTCAACGTTGATCAATTATGGAATCTCACTGAATACAATCAATTTAACAGATTAAAACACAATTCCTGGTGTTGAGGAGAATGCAGAAAAGCTGGTGATTATAAGAGTAAGTAAGAAACGAAGAGGAGGTATGCCAATCTGTTAAACTCAGAGGCGGATTTAGGGGGGGGGTCAGGGGGGTCCTGACCCTTCCCCCCGCACCCCCCCCCCCCCCTTCGATTTCGGTAAATCCAATGGCCCCCTCTTAAAATTAGAATTTTGACAAGCTGAATCATAGTTCTAAACTGTACCAAATGGCATCGTTCGCCCTCTAAAATACCAAATTTATTCGGGGCCTTCAGGGCTGGGCCCCCAAACCAATGCCAGGGAGGGGGGAGGAACTGCTTCGCATGGCGGATTCAGCCTTCAAATAATCCTGGATCTGCCCCTGAAACTGACTGTATTCAGATCAAGTTTCCAGAGTTGAATTGATCTACAGCATATATGTAGACCTAACGTGCCATTGGGAATTAGGCTTCGTTCACATGCAATGTCTATTTTCTAAATTCTATTTTCTATTTGCGGTATGTCTTATGATCACGGTCTGTGGCCTGAATATCCCGCGGCGTAATTACTGGCAGCCGTGCCAGTTACTATAATTAAGTTACTATAAGTAACTGGCTCGCGCTGCCAGTAATTACGCGGCGGGATATTCAGGGCACAGACCTTGATCATAAGATAGCGCAAATAGAAAATAGAAATTAGAAAATAGACATTGCATGTGAACGAAGCCTTAGCCCACTGCTGACATAATGGGCCATAAGTTGAGAATGACGTGTTGTAGTCCCATTGCGCACTCTTGTGTGTGTGTGTGTGTGTTTTCACTGTGTGTGTGTGTGTGTGTGTGTGTGTGTGCATGTGTGTGTGTGTATAAGAGAGAAAGGGAGAAAGAGAGGTGTGTTATAACAACGCCTATATTTTACCACTAATTAAGTTATTACAAGGTCCGCTCCCATTAATAAGCACTTTCAGCGCTTCTTAGACAAATAGCACCCCCCCCCCCCCCCCGCAACCACCACCACCACCACTCCACTCCCTTTCCTAACTGCTAGGGTCTTCACCTGTGGCACCCAAAGACGCTGCTACTACTACAACTGTGCTAGTATTAGATCAACAACCTAGTCGCGCACTGCATGTACCAGCAGTATGCGAGTGGCATTAAAACACATCACAATATTTATCATCTAATAAATGACTCATACGAAGTCATATCATATTGATCTGCAGATAGAATTATCTGAAACTGTCCAGAAGTGCAGAAAATAAACAGACAGCCGCCTGCGCCATGTGTTAGTATACGAGCACCCTACTCACCTCACAGCGCCATTCTCGGCCAAAATTAGGTCACGTTTTTCAGGTCTTATCAGTTGACCTATTTTCCTCAATTTGCAGGTCCTGTGAGATTATTATAAAACTTTCTATTTCTTTATCATTCGTTATTTTGCACTGATTGCATCAAGTAATTCCAAGTGGTATATCTAGATGAGGTACAGCAAGTGCAATAGATCTATGTTATATTTGTGGAAATTTTGGCATTTTGTTTTGAAATAAGGGGGCATATCTGCATTATAATCAGCATTGCAGAAAACCAGTATCATCTCAATGCTTATAACATAACACAGGGAATCAATAATCCAATTTTGATTTACTGAAGCAAATTTAGCAATCATATCCAGCTAATAATCCAAAAACAAATTAAGTACAGAAAAGTAGGATTTAACCAAATTGTTTTCAGTGGATGAGGTTACCAAGTATTGCCTTGTGTGAATACTATTTGTAGCACCCCTATCTTTTTCCTACTAGTCATTAATAAAATTGCCATTTACCAGGTACTGAACCAGCAGATTGAACTATGAGCAATTCCCCATCCCCGTGGAGTCTCAAATTCTAGTCAAATTCAAACTGCCCTGCAAATCCCCAACATAAAGACATTCATGACATTACATGGGAATCTAACATGAAACTTGAAAATCATTGACAAGGGAAAAAAGCTCACTTTTTTTTATTATCTTTTATTTTTTCCGTCTGTTCTTTCCACATGGACACCGAATTAAGCATACATGGTACACTTCTCTTTAGCTCCAATAGCTAGAACACATCTTTCCATTTTGTTTTTTTATTTTTGAGAATTTTTGGTCAAAAAACAAAGTTACTTGTTCCATAATTTTATACATATCCCAAAATTTAAAAGAAAAATGTTTTTTTGTAAATGTTGGTCCAAATAGTTTGTTCAGTTAGAGAATCTGGTTCAATAAGAAATAAAGGAATGTTCAGTCAAATAAAGGAATTTATCATCGTCTGACTGCTTGTTTATTCCATATCCTCCTCCTCTTCATCAAATTCACCCTCTTCCTCAGCAGTGGCATCCTGGTACTGCTGGTATTCAGACACCAGATCATTCATGTTGGACTCGGCCTCAGTGAATTCCATCTCATCCATACCCTCACCAGTGTACCAATGCAAGAAAGCCTTACGACGGAACATAGCGGTGAACTGCTCGGAGATACGCTTGAACAGCTCCTGGATGGCAGTGCTGTTTCCAACGAAAGTGGCAGACATCTTGAGACCACGTGGTGGGATGTCACAGACAGCGGTCTTCACGTTGTTGGGGATCCATTCAACAAAGTAGCTGCTGTTTTTGTTCTGCACATTCAACATCTGCTCATCAACCTCCTTCATGGACATGCGGCCACGGAACATGGCAGCAACTGTCAGGTAGCGGCCGTGACGAGGATCGCAGGCAGCCATCATGTTCTTGGCATCAAACATCTGCTGGGTCAGCTCTGGGACAGTCAGAGCACGGTACTGCTGGCTTCCACGGGAGGTCAGAGGAGCAAAGCCAGGCATGAAGAAGTGGAGACGTGGGAATGGAACCATGTTGACAGCCAATTTACGGAGATCAGCATTCAGCTGGCCAGGGAAACGAAGACTGGTTGTGACACCAGACATAGTGGCAGACACAAGATGGTTGAGATCTCCATAAGTAGGTGTGGTCAGTTTGAGGGTACGGAAGCAGATATCGTATAGAGCCTCATTGTCAATGCAGTAGGTTTCGTCAGTGTTCTCAACGAGCTGATGTACAGAGAGGGTGGCGTTGTATGGTTCTACTACTGTGTCAGATACCTGAAAATACCCCAAAAAAAAACAAAAAACAAATATTATTATTTTTCTCAGATATTTTTAACCTAGCTCATGTCAGAAGAGACTGCTTTCATCTCTTTCTTTGAAAGAAGTTTATTAACACATTTTTAAAATGTACTGCTGGTACTCAGACCTGGATTTGTTTATAAAAGCACAAGCCAACAGAAGTCTAGGTTCTTTAAAAACGTTATAACATAATTACTGATGAAAACAAAAAAGTATGTGTATGTAACACGTATTGATCACTAGTCTAGTCAGTGAAGCACTCAAATTGATAAGTATTCACTCTGAGGAGCCCATGGAATTTAGACTTGTGCCTTTCATGTGCACACACTATACCTTTTTTTTTTTTTACTTTTCGCACTAATGTCTTTATTTTTTCTCTAGCATCAATACAGATTAATTAATCTAGCCATAGGAAGCTGTCAGACAAGTGAGCGCTGTTATCACCATCCTAACAACTGTGCAAATAATGAGTCATCTGGTAGCTTTCACCTGAATCCTTTAATTACCCTTTATTAGTACAGCTATGGGTTGTAGATCCATGAGAATTGGCAACACAGATGAATCATCATCTAAAATTGATAATAATTGTGCAATCTTTGTTGGCTGGGAGAAATGACAGGTATGGTGGGGCATTGACACAAACACTGGGGTGACCTTTTTAGTTGTGACCCCGCTTTGCAGGTCATCAGACAAAGAGATTCACCACAGGCAGTAAATATGTTCACCCCCCCACCCACCCCTGGAGGCAGGACAACTTAGGGATTATGTCTCCTGTCTGTGGTCACCTTAACTAATATTGGCTGACCCAATATGTATGATAAATTAAGATCTAAATATTACCTTGGGTGATGGGACAACTGAGAATGTGTTCATGATTCTGTCTGGGTACTCTTCACGGATCTTGCTGATCAGCAGAGTTCCCATGCCAGACCCAGTGCCGCCACCAAGGGAGTGTGTCAGTTGGAATCCCTGAAGACAATCACAGCTCTCAGCTTCTTTGCGGACTACATCAAGCACAGAGTCGACGAGCTCAGCACCTTCTGTGTAGTGGCCCTTGGCCCAGTTGTTTCCTGCACCACTCTGTCCAAAGACAAAGTTGTCTGGTCTGAAGATCTGTCCAAAAGGTCCAGATCTGACAGAGTCCATGGTGCCGGGCTCAAGATCAACCAAAATTGCACGAGGAACATATTTGCCACCTAAAAAGAACAAATCACGATATCAGCTGCAAGAGAAATAGGATGCGGAAAATTCACACTGTGCTGATAAACAATACACCAGTAATCAACTGCTGCACATGTTAATCTTTACTGACCCATATATATAGATTTTTCAACATACAGAAGTGATAAAGTTATTAGAATGACCACCTTCATATCAATACCACTTTCACTCCTGACAGGACAGCAAGCAAGCATCACTGAGCATAGGCTTACATGCCTTTAATTCCATCAATAACTAACAACTTCAACAATGGTGATTCCTCTAGAGATAAGACAGTCTAACACCCCATTCTCATAGATTAGATCGACCTACATTGGATCGACCTAACTCCCTGGGGGTTCACGCTAAATAGCTGTCAGCCGGGCGGACACGAAAGTTAATTACCCCTTAAAGCTTGTAGTAGGCGGGGACGGACACTTAAGGGGGATTATCTGACAGTAATCTAGTGAGACTCCCCGCGGTGATAGATCGATCTAAAAGTTGTGAGAACAGAGCCTACGAGGCTGGCCAGGAATCTGATTAATTCATTCACAGCTGCCATCATCTGCTACTTACCAGTGGCTTCATTGTAATAGACATTGATTCTCTCCAACTGAAGATCTGAATCACCGTGGTATGTGCCAGTTGGGTCAATTCCGTGTTCATCGGAAATTACTTCCCAGAACTAGAATGAAAATAAAATATACATGCACATTTGATTTACAGGGATACACTGCTTCTCATTAGCGAGGAGATTAATTAAACACTTATCCAATTAAAGTAACCACAGCCAAACTGAAGAAATTCTAAATCATTCAGAGCAGAGATAAATGTTTTATGCAGCAAAAAATGTTAGATCTGTAAATTATAGCCTATGTGACTTTAATTCTAGTTTGTCACATTTAAAACATTTCAATTGCATTAGTCCTAATTAATAATAATTATTATAACAATAAGAATATAAACTGATATTTGAGATAAGCCTAGAGGCTTTAAAATGAAATGGTCATTTTGTAACAAATTGGAGGGGGAAAGGCAAAGTTAATGAATTACTACCAGTTTTAATGGAGTATTTTACATTGGAAATATGCCACTATCATTATGTTTAAAATTGGCATTAACTACTCTTCTAATAAAGTAAGTAAACAAAATTGATTTTTCTGCATAACACCCTCAGAGAACAATCTACTTTTAATCAATCTTAAACTAATATAATATATCTGTCATCACTTCTTCATAATTCCAACATAACATGGGTTAGGCTGCCACAAATTTTCATTAATATTGTACACCACTAATTTACTGATCTGAAATCATCTGTCAAAAGTTGGATACCACTTTCCCAAGCCGCTGTTATTTGGACACTGCTAAATATAAATGTAAACACTTGTACTGGTTTCTATGGAAGAAAAATATTACATAACCATGTGAAGTCGGCTCAAATTTGTTCTTAGCATCATTTATTAATCAGAACTGCAAACTGTGCCAGACAAAAATGTTGGAATTTTTATCAACTCCCCAGCTGAATTATGACTTATCAGTCTAGCAGATTGGAGTAGAATGATGTTTGCAGATAAACTTCTGTTTTCTTCTGTTTTGACAACCAAATATGTACAGTAACAGAAGAAGGATGCCATTTATCCAAATGGGATTAAAATTTTATTAAAGTCTAGATAAAAATATGGAAAATTCTACAATGCGTGTGCATCTGTGAAGGAAAGAGCAGTAACATAGCAGTTTTTTTTTTTTTTTTTTTTTCATTTCTATGTTTGGATATAAATTTGTCAGTTTTATGAAAAAGAAAGAAACCTAAAGAACTATCCTNAGTTTTTTTTTTTTTTTTTTTTTCATTTCTATGTTTGGATATAAATTTGTCAGTTTTATGAAAAAGAAAGAAACCTAAAGAACTATCCTATCTTATTTTGTCATAGACTTCATTTCACATTACAACAAAGATGACATGTCTGATAAGGCACTCAAAACTTTCTACAGCTTTCAAGCCTTCATGCAATTAACATAAATCCACAAGGAATTGATTATCATGAATATCAATAGCTGCTAAGAAGACAGATCTGCCTTAACCTTTGCTGGGCAAATTTGAATGCATAATTTATGTAGATATGAGTAATCTCTTAATTTTTGCACAGAAATGTGTGAATTAAACAAACGACTGTTTAAATGTTGAGAAAAATGTGTACTGATGACAGATAAAATGCTGAAAATTACGTGGACTATATTATTACATAATGAACTGGGGAAAAGGAACGCGCGGCATCCCCCCTCGGCCGCGGTATATACTAGAAATGAAAATTACATTTTGCACAAAATCCCGACTTCAACATAAAAACCTTGAATGAAACTAGTGTCAATTTTAAGCACTACATCATATAATTACCAAAAATCGCCAAAGAGAGGCTTATAAAGCAGAAAAGGCGGGGCAGAGGCATGGGCCGGACCGCGCTTACTCCTACCACCCAGAGAGCCGGTTACCGGCGAAAATGACAGCTCATGACTGAATATCCCATCCTTTTCAATAAAAATCGCCCTTTCACTGATAATCCACATCTTGCTTACCTTGGCGCCGATCTGGTTGCCGCATTGGCCGGCTTGCATGTGCACAATTTCCCTCATGTTTCTAGAGATTTAGGAATAATCAAAATGCACCTTCTCCGTGGACAGCGTTCTCCGAGTTTCTGAACGGGCTGACTCAGCGGCGTTTATATGGACAGCGGTGGCATTGTGACATCATGTCGCCGAGATCGCGAGCTCATTGGTGCGGTATATTTTATGCTCATGAGCTCGCGTGGTCATCGCCATGATGCGCATGTGCTGGGGTGAAACTGACAAAGCTCGGAGGTGGGGTGGGCCGTGTTGGATTGATTTTGACCAAGACTCGTAGATATTTAATTGGGGATTAAGTGAGAAATACGAGCTTCACCTCTACCGCTCTTCTGGGGTTAAAGTGTCATTAAGAATGGAGGAAATTCGAAGGAGCATACTGCTTTGGAAGCTACTCGGTATATACAGGATTATTATTATCATGAAACGTGTCCGTTTGATTTTCATGAAACGGTTGCTACATTATTCCTTCCAAATTCAGGCAAATATTAAGAAAATCTAGACATTCATTCATTCTATATAGTATACTTCATATATGCACGCTATATGTAATGTTGGTAAACAACCAAGTTACATTTTACACGCTAACAGCTAGTTTGTTTACAAGGAACCACGCCTTCTGCCAATTAAGTTAATTACACCCTCTCCCTCTCTCTCTCACACACACACTCACACACACACATGCAGTAGCTAGGAGAGATCACAAGGCAGCTAAATGTTTTTTTTTTTTTTTTTTTTCAGAAGAAAGTCTTAAAATTAATTAAAATAACTGAGAATTTTATTGTTTTAACACCCCCCCCACCCCCCGTGATGAGTGACAAACGGTGCGTGAGACAGATTCCTATAGAGACCTATAAAGACTGTATTTCACTTCAGATGCACATGCAAATAATTAACATATTAATTAATTATTTTACCCCAGAACCTATAATCAATAATAATTATTGGGAATAAAAACCATTCAATTACACTGACACATGTTTATGTTTCAGTTATACTTAGATCGAAAATCATACATCTCTAAATGCCCCCCCCCCCCCCCCCCCCCCGCTGTCATCGTTCAAATACAAAATTCAAATTCATAAACGACAATGGCGGGAAAATTCTCTGAATCGGTTATCTCCCATGCAGTTAATCTGCAATATATCCGATTCCTAGTATTTATTACAAATAATAACACCGATACGAGTCAAAAGCCTTATCGGAACTATTTCCCTTTTGTCACTGTTGATGTTTACAAGTGTTGATCGATTATTGATCGATTTTTGTATTGGTAACGGTTGTCATAGGGTGAATTATTTATGCACAGCATCACAACCTAAAATTAACGTCCGCATTCAAAATAGTGCGCATTAAATATAGCATTTCTTCATAATTCCGAATGTTTTGCATAATTTTTGTGTATGGTAACTTATAATATGTCATTTTCCTTTAAATTCCAGTGTGATGTATTAGCAAAAAGCATTTCGATGAAAATTCAAACCCGATGCGGAAGGATACGAGTTCCGCCATTCATGTTGACCATATAAAAGAGGTGACGGTCAATTGCTAGCAACACTTAACGCAAACCTCGAAGACTAAAGCTCACTCAACTTCAGCTAGAAAAAACTATCAACATGAGGGAAATTGTACACATGCAAGCCGGCCAGTGCGGCAACCAGATCGGCGCCAAGGTAAGCGTCTCGTCTTTAGATGAGTGACAACTTTAAAGGTGCGGTTTTTCTTCGCTATGTTTGGCGCGGTTGCAGTCTGTCGCCGGCATCTTTACGACCTTGAATCGAGGACTTGAGTAGTTTCCAGAAATTTACATTTGATTTATTAATTAACGCCTTGTGTTTCTTCTATTTTAAAATAAATTTGCTGTTGCAACCAGTGAGATACAAATCACATACGTTATAATTCAAACTGCCTGGAACTGGATTTAACTGCCGGGAGTGATTTGCATAAAAAGTCCGTTGCTAAGGCTGACTAAATCAATAACTTTAAATCTGTGTCAGGCCTTTGGAATCTTATCATCAATTTGAATTATTTTGACAGGCACTCGTAATTTTGATAAGATAAATTTGGACTTAAAAAAGAAAGTACTTCAATTTGCACAGATGATTATTAACTTTATACTTTGCTTTGAATAAGACTATCACTATCGGGAATATTTTATGATTTATAAATTATTACTTTTTTATATTCCTCTAGTTCTGGGAAGTGATCTCTGATGAGCACGGAATTGACCCAACTGGCACATACCACGGTGATTCTGATCTTCAGTTGGAGAGAATCAACGTCTACTACAATGAAGCTACTGGTAAGGATCTTCAAGTGTACACTTGAATAAAATATATAAATTACAAAATAAATAAATAAAATAATGCTATATTAATATATCAGTCACATGGCATGGTGAGTTTACATTTAGGTGACTCATTATTTCAAGGTTTTTAAAAATGGAGGCATGTTTGGTTGTTGCTATGTGGCATAAATTTGGAGAAATCACATTTGACTACGAAAAAGAACTTTACTTCGAATAGACTGGTGAAACAACTATGTGTTATTTGCCCCATCAAGATTTTCCTGATGCAAAATGTTTTAATTAAACTTAAATATGTTTTAAACAGTACATTTTATGAAAAAGGATAATTAAAATGGGAAAATGTTGGACATGGCTACTTCGTGTTGCTAAGGACCTCAACAGAATTGTATAGCTGTTCAACAAACTTTAGTATATACACGCTTATTGTGCATGTGTTACATAAGAAAGATTGAATGACATTCATGTTCAGTCAGTTGTCAAATATTTCTATTGACGTAGCTTACTGTACAAATAATCAATGCATACATAAGGTGTGCTTCTGTTGGTGAAAATGACCAATTTGGTGAAGGTTTATATACTTGAGTAATTAAATCAATAGAGAAAGATTCTGTCTAAACAAGTTGTAATGAAACTAGAGGGAGCTTTTTAAAGCATGTGTGGTTCTGTGCTAAGACAGTATTTATTTCTATAACAGCTTGCAAATTTGAGGTAATAAGGTTAAACAACCCCAAGGGATATAAAATCAATATTTCAGAAACACATGAATATTTTTGTGTTTCATCTGGAAATAACGTGAATAATGAACATAAAATTAAGCAAAAATTATAAGATTTTTATTTGAATTTCAGGTGGCAAATATGTCCCCCGTGCTGTCCTTGTTGATCTCGAGCCCGGCACCATGGACTCTGTCAGATCTGGACCTTTTGGACAGATCTTCAGACCAGACAACTTTGTCTTTGGACAGAGTGGTGCAGGAAACAACTGGGCCAAGGGCCACTACACAGAAGGTGCTGAGCTCGTCGACTCTGTGCTTGATGTAGTCCGCAAAGAAGCTGAGAGCTGTGATTGTCTTCAGGGATTCCAACTGACACACTCCCTTGGTGGCGGCACTGGGTCTGGCATGGGAACTCTGCTGATCAGCAAGATCCGAGAAGAGTACCCAGACAGAATCATGAACACATTCTCAGTTGTCCCATCACCCAAGGTAAATATTACATATTTACACCACATAAACAATGTTGCAAATTCCTGTTGTTATGATTTTGCTGTTTGTGTTAGTAGTATTTCTCATTGAATTCCCATTAATCAAAATCTGTTGATTTGTTCCCTTGTACTGTACCGTGACTCATGTGACTTTTTCTCAATTTTCAGGTATCTGACACAGTAGTAGAACCATACAACGCCACCCTCTCTGTACATCAGCTCGTTGAGAACACTGACGAAACCTACTGCATTGACAATGAAGCTCTTTACGACATCTGCTTCCGTACCCTGAAGCTGACCACACCCACATATGGTGACTTGAACCATCTTGTGTCTGCCACCATGTCTGGTGTCACCACTTGCCTCCGTTTCCCTGGTCAACTGAATGCTGATCTCCGTAAATTGGCTGTCAACATGGTTCCATTCCCACGTCTCCACTTCTTCATGCCTGGCTTTGCTCCTCTGACCTCCCGTGGTAGCCAGCAGTACCGTGCTCTGACTGTTCCAGAGCTGACCCAGCAGATGTTTGATGCCAAGAACATGATGGCTGCCTGCGATCCTCGTCACGGCCGCTACCTGACCGTTGCTGCCATGTTCCGTGGCCGCATGTCCATGAAGGAGGTTGATGAGCAGATGTTGAATGTGCAGAACAAGAACAGCAGCTACTTCGTTGAATGGATCCCCAACAACGTGAAGACCGCTGTCTGTGACATCCCACCACGTGGTCTCAAGATGTCTGCCACCTTCGTTGGAAACAGCACTGCCATCCAGGAGCTGTTCAAGCGTATCTCCGAGCAGTTCACCGCTATGTTCCGTCGTAAGGCTTTCTTGCATTGGTACACTGGTGAGGGTATGGATGAGATGGAATTCACTGAGGCCGAGTCCAACATGAATGATCTGGTGTCTGAATACCAGCAGTACCAGGACGCCACTGCTGAGGAAGAGGGTGAATTTGATGAAGAGGAGGAGGGAGAGGAAGCATAAATGTCTTTTCATAAACTTTGAAACTTTTAGTTATATGATTGAATCTGAAACTGACATTCCTGTTGCTTCATAATCAAGCCAAAATTCATTCTGACAATCATGTCACTTTAAAAGAAACATTTGTCATTTTGCATGTTGCATCTCTATTGATGCTGTCTTATTCATTATCAGACCCAACTGTTCCATTGAAATGAAAGCTATGAATTTTTTTCTTCATTTTAAACGCTAGAGATAGAATGGTAAATGATATCATGCAATAAATTTTTAATTTTTTAAACAACATAGGTCTTGTGTTTGTTAAGAATACATAGCCAAAATTTCTAAAAAAAAAAAAAGAATGGGATAGAAGATCTGGGTTCAAGACGAAAAATTAACTGCTTCACCTCGGTGAAAACTCGGTTGGTGGTACTAACACACGTGTTCCCCTTTTACTGACTTTGTAGAAACTGAAACCTTATAAATTAAACCATTGAAACAAAGTTATTAGATGAGAGGCATTGCTTATTTAACAGAACTTTCTTTGCGATGTTGACCTCAAGGAAGTACCTGTCACCTTGGCCACAGTAACCATATGGGCTGTGACGCGCCCCCCCCCCCTCCCCACCACCACAGGCGACACCTTGCGGAGGGTGCAACTGAAAATAACCTTGTCGCGCGACCCTATTGCTCTTATCTTGGCCATTGTGTTGCTAGTGCCATCTATTTTTAAAAGACAACGTGACGGCATACTAGAAAAACCGGTTAGGCTGGGTTAGGTCACAAACAGGAGGAATCCCTGAAGATAACCCACCAAACAAATTCAACTAAAACTACTCAACATGAGGGAAATTGTCCACCTACAAGCCGGCCAGTGTGGTAACCAGATTGGTGCCAAGGTATAAACATATGGAGAGCTGATGTTACTGATAAAATTTTGCAAGTAGTTAGTTAAAACTTTTACACGTCAGTGGCGCGTATTCTACTTCCTGATAAAATGGTGAAACTTCGTTAGTACAATATTATTGTGTAAATTGTGACACTTAGAGATAACCAGTAATTAATTTCACATTCCAAAACACAAAATCGAAATACGGTCGGATGTAGTGGCTAAGAAGGTTTTTTTTGTTTGTTTGTTTCCGTTTGGGCTTGAACTGTTTGCACAACCGTGACATTTTGCAAATTTAACATAAAATAATTCACATGCATATTGCTGTCACTGGTTCTTTACTAAT